AGAAAAATTATGTGCTAGATAGATGATAGATAGATAGATAGATAGATAGATAGATAGATAGATAGATAGATAGATAGATACAAACAGAGATATAGATACACACACACAATGATTTATCATTAAGCCACGAGAAAAAAAGGAAATCTTGCCTTTTGCAACAATATAGATGGACCTTGAGGGCATTATGTTAAGGGAAATAAGTCAGACAGAGAAAGACAGATACTGTATGGTATTGCTTATATGTGGAATCTAAAAAAGCCAAATTCATAGAAACAGAGAGTAGAACGGTGGTTGCCAGGGGATGGAGGGTGGGGGAAATGGGGAGATGATGGCCAAAGGGAACAAACTTCCAGGTATGAGATGAAAGTTCTGGGGATCTCATGTACAGCATGATGACTGTAATTAACAATACTATATTATACACTTGAAAGTTGCTAAGAGAGTAAATCTCAAATGTTCTTTACCACAAAAATAGAAATAGGAATTATGTGAAGTGATGGAGGGGTTAATTAACTCCCTGTGATAATCATTTCACAATATATAAGTGTATCAAATACCATGCTGTCCCTAACTTATACAATATTATATATAAATTATAGCTCAATAAATCTATGAAAATAGTCAGACAATTCATAGAAAATATGTGAAAAGCTAATATTTCTATAAAGAGATATTTAAAATGTGCATTAAGCCAACAAGATACCACATTATGCCCAAGAGAATGACAAATATTAGAAAATTGGATAATACCAAGTAACAATAATATATATATATTTTTAAAAAAACCAGGAACTTTCATGTATTGCTGGTGGAAGTAAGCTAGTATAGCAAGCCATTCTGGGAAATAATATAGCTATACAGTATTTCATAAATTAAGACTGGCTACCCTAGCAAAATTTACAAATGTATATTTATTTTCACTCAGAAATCCAGGTAGTATGCTTTAAGGTACATAAGAGAAAAGCATTTTTGTGAGTGGAGAGTTGGAGAAAATCTAGATATCTATTCCTAGGGGACTCGATAAGGAAGATATGTGAAATGCACATTATGTAATAGTTAGAAGCAATAAACTACATGAGCACATGGCAAAAAGGACAAATCTTAAAATCACGATGTTGAGTGAACAATGCAAAATATCAGATATGGCCTTTAGCACAATACTATCTGTGTAAATTTAAAAAACACACATGAAACAATACTCTATGATTCCTAAGAGTATGTACATATTCAAGAATACAGATGAAACATTAGAATAAGTGCCTATCATAATAAGTAACATTTACTGAACACATGTTACCCGCTCAGCCCTTTCCTAAATACACTAATATAATTCTCGAAACTCTTGCCATTATTATCCCCAAAATATAATTGAGAAAATTGAGGCACAGAGGAGTTATATAGCTAGTGGGTGGCGGATGTGGAATGAAAACGTAGGCAGTCTGACTCCAAAGCCGAGGCTTTTAATATTCCCCTATATTGTCTACGAGGAGGAGGCAAGACGTCTCAAGGACTGAGGCGAACAGTACGCCATGGCAAATGACTAACTTAACCTCCTGCATCTGAGATCTAAAAAAGAAAAAAAGTTCCTAATTACAAAATTTCATTTGTTCCTCACAACTCTGAATCAGTAAAAGAGCAGGTAGATGACATACTTGATCTTTTCTGATTCTAAAATTTTGAATCTTAATTTTTGACTTTCTATTTCCTATGACAAAAGACATAATGGAGTACATCGTATCTGTGAAAAAAGAAAAGTACATTATTTTTCTACTTTTCTAGAACAGTGACCTTAATGAGTTATGTATTCTCAACACAAAGTAGGCCCTTTCCACAATGGGTATCTATTTTAAGGTCTAGGTTTTAGCAAACAAAGAAATTGTGGTAGCTGTGCTTGTATATATAATACTAACACTCCTAACTAAATTAGTAGAGTACTATTGAGGAGAGAATACTATTATTACTTTAGCCACTGAGACTGGAAGTATTACAGCAGTTACGTGATCATAATAACAGCTATGACATTTATGGCAACATAAAAATAGAGTAAAATACAAAGTAATCTTACAGTATAACGCTTCCAGAAACCGGCAATTTCATCAATACTTGCTGCAGGATTAAATAAAAAGTAGACTTTCCATTCATCCCAGTCTACTGTCATTGTTCCATCACTATCAATGCTGAAATTTTAAAAAATAGTGCTTATAACAGTTATAACAAAGTTAGCACCATTATAAAAATTAATTAAATGTTTCTTACGTATTTATTGTAGAAACCACTCCTTTGAGTTTCATAAATATTACTGTATTTTCATATTTTAAGACTTTATTTTTTACAAAAATTGAGAATATAACAGAGTTCCCACATATCCTCGTACCCAGTTTCCCCTAACGGTGACATCTTACATTATTATAGCAAATTTGTTACAGTTAAAAAACCAATATTGATGTATTATTATTAACTAAAGTTCATACTTTATTCAAGGTTCCTTAGTTTTTAACTAATGTCATTTTTTGGGTTTAGGATCCCATCTGAGACCCCACATTCTATTTAGTCATCAAGTCTCCTTAGGTTCCTCTTGGCTACAACAGTTTCTCAGACTTTTTTTGATTTTTATAATTTTGACAGTTTAGGGGAATACTGGTCAGATATTTTGTAGAATGCTCCTCTATCGAAATTTATTTTGTATTGTTTTTTAATTATTTACTTGTATATGTTTCTTTCATTCTTGCCTATGACCTTTTATAGGTAAATACTATAAGTTACCTTTATATCTCTAGCACTGAGCATTCAATGTTTGTTGAAGAATGAATGAATAAAATTGATTGGATATTGATCTTATACTTTTTGACTCTTCTAATAGTATTTTTTCCTCTGATCCTCTTCTCTCTGCTTATACCTTTAAATCAACTTTAACATAAACTTCTACTTATGAATTTAAAGAAAAGACTCACTTTTACCATGCAAAATTCAGGATTTACTCAACTTTTAAGCACAGCAAATCAAAAAATACATCAGATGTTTCTTTAAAAGCTGAGTAAAAGGTGAAATTAAGCAAAATGCTTTTTCAATTGCATTTTTATTCATGGAAATCCTAAAAAAAAAACAGATTCCATTCTGCAAACAGGAAGATCAGTACAATTCCGGTTCCAGCCAAAACAAAATAATGGATGTAGAATTTACCCTCCTACTATAAACAATTATAAAATTGGACACAATATATGAAGCAACTGTTTTCAGGCACTGGACTACAAGCAGGACATGGTTACGACACTTGAGAGAAGGAAAACACATGAATTGAGTTCCCCGTTCACTCTGGTCCTTGTCTGGGGACACTTTACAGACTGTAGGATAGAGAAGTAGTAGCCTAGACAGAGAGCAAGTAGATAGAAAAAACAGAGAGCAGAGCTGAGGGCTGCTGAGGGGGCAGGAATTTGCACAGCAAATGTTTCAGGGTGCTCTAGAAACTATATGGGTATCTCGTTGCATCTTTGGCCAGATTCTAAGCTATGCGTGACTCCATCAGTCTGACAAAAGTAGTTACTGCAGGGCTGTGAGTTTAATGGAAATCCTGTAGCTGAGCAATGTTGTAATTGAAGAAAGGAAAGAAGAAGGAAGAAGAAAGGGAGGGAGGGAGGGAAGAGCTACATTCATAGCAATTAGTTTCTAACATGGAATATTAAACAAAAACAAAAATGAAAACTATTAATAATAAGGATAAGGGCTGACCTTTGTAGAATATTTTTTGCCTGAGCTTCAGAAATAGTCATACCCAGTGATTTCAAAGCAGCAATTATTTCTGAAGTTTCTATCACTCCTTTAAAAAGTGAACAAATGTCAAGTTAAAGTATCTGAAAACATAACAAGGCGAAATACACTTAGAGAACACAATAGTCTTTAAAAGCTCATGTGTTTTATAGGCCTCTAATCCCATATTCATAGCTGAATTCACAAGACTTAAAAGCTCTAAAAACTCAAAGACGTTTTGTAAACTTGGCACCAAAATTCATTTAACGGCAAAACCTGTCCTAAAATGATGTGTTATAATAACTGATTTTAGACAATTATTCGTCTAATTTAGTGTTGTTATTCATTTGTTTCACTGAAGGAATATTCATATACAGTTGACCTTTGAACAATAGGGATTTGAACTGCAGATAAATCCACTTAAAAGGAGATTTTTTTCGATAAATACGGTAGGGATTTCGAATCCCTGGGTCTCCTGTCTGTGGGTTTTATTTGCCCCGGGCTCAAGCAGCCCCTTACTGAAATCAAAATTTTCGCATTCCCAACTTTGGTTTCCCAAAGACAAATCAAAAATACTGTTTTCAATCCACAGTTGGTTGAATCCACAAATGTGAAGGGCCAAGTAGAGTTAACTTTTGTGGGGCTCAAGGTTATACTTAGATTTTTGACAGCACTGAGGGTCGACGCCCTAAACCCCCCTGTTGTTCAAGGGTCAACTGTATGTAATTGCACAGTGGTGCCCCAGACCCCGCTCGGAGTATTACATAATATATCATATGTGCACTGTATTGCTATTCTAAAATCCAAATTCAAATTTCTAAACATGTATGTCCCCAAGAGTTTCCAATAACAGACTGTAGATCTATAATAGATCTTGATTATTGTATCTACTTGGAAAGAATTAGGAAGTTAATTCTATTCAATATCTGATTCAGGGGCATGTAAATAAGGAAACTCAACATTTTATAAGGAAAGCTTTAAAATAAATAATATACTTAAAATACAATAGAATGCTAAACTTTTTAACACAACCATATACTATGTTAAATAATTCAAAACACACACTATATTTAATGCAAGCCTACTATGCATTTCAATCTCACGTTGCTGAATATTGTAAAGGAAAAATTAAGTATTCCATATTCTCCCCACATTCTAAAACACTTACCTAATCATGTCACTCCTCAAGTCCAAAATGTCTTTTATTCCTCCCTTGTATCAAACAAATAGTTGAGGATACCAAGTCTTTTAAAATGTGAGAACAACTATTTTATGTTAAAAAAATCAACTTTAATGTCACCTAGTTGAAAAATATGTAATGTCAAAAAGCTACTATAAATTCAGTCATATTTTTAATTTGTATTTTATGAACCATAGCTGCATCTGTATACACTTATAAATAGTATGTATGTATAAAACACTTATTTAGCCAATAAACAAAGCCGAGTATTCATAAACAGAATCTCAGATTCTTTGCAATGACTCCAAGGCCCCTAGGGTTCCAAGTTCCATGGGGTGGAATTTACTGGTCAATTCCTCAACCTATAAATCAAAGTTTTCTTCAACTGAGAAAGCTGGATCCTCTGCTTTATATCCCATTATAGTCTTCAAACATTATAGTCAACAATTTAATAATTTAAACAATTTTTTGAAAGTCTACTATTCAAACCACTATGCTAAATGATATGAGAGAAGCCAAAGATTAATAAAACAGCACTCCTCCAAGGCGTTTACCAGTTTCTATGAATACACTATTTTAAAAATACATCACACTGTGCTAAACGTATGTTATAGAAGAGTAAAGGATAAGGTGCGATGGAAGGATAAATAAAGGGGTGAAAAAGAAGAGTCACAAATGAATTACTGTAAAGAATAACCAAGAGACCACCAAAGAAACCAAAGCATTTCAACAAAGGCAAGCGTATAAGCCTTAAGATTTACTTAAGTTAGGGCCAGACTTGAAATGACATATTAACCAGCTTTGACCTTGTCTAGCAATTTCCCAATTCTGCCTTTGTTCAAGCTCTTCTCTCTACTTGAGAACCCTTTCATTTCATTTCTGTTTATATATTGACCCAGCACATATCTAAATTGTCTCCGGGCACAATTAAGCTCTCCTTGTATCATTTTTATAGCAATTATTATAATCTATCCTATATATGGCTATGTATGTTTACTCTTACTTCCCCAAAATGTATGCTTCTGAAGAAGTTTGTTTACACAGTTCTTAGTGCACTAGCTCACACAGAACGCTCAAAAACTGTTTGCTTCATTGAACTAAAATATATTAAGTAATCTTTACCTTAAGTTACAAACTCAGGCTGAGATGTAGGGGAAAAAAATTAGGTAAATATGATCCGGAATATAATCAAGACCTATGGACTGAAAGGGAGATTCAATGTTGTCTTCAATTATACGCAACAAGCTTTGACTGAGATGGACTTGAAATGGATTGGATATGGAACAACAGCAGTTAGATGGATGGAGAAGGAGACTGCAAGCATTCCAGCATTGTCACTCCAGGGAAAAATGCAAACTATTCCATTCCGGTAATGTGATGTACTGCTAAGTAACAAACCATCCCAGAATTTAGTGGCTTAAAAAGAATGTATCTGATCATGAGTATGCAATCTGAGCTTGGTTCAACTCATTGGTTCTTCTGCGGATCTTGCCTTGGGTCGCTCATGTGAATTCAATTATATTGAGGTTTGACTACAGCTGGAAATCCGAGATGGCTTCACTTACACATCTGTCACCTCAGATGGTAATGTAATACAGCTGGGGACTAAATGGGCATCTCTCTACATGTGGTCTTTCCATCTGGGTAGTTAGTCCTCTTTTCCGGTGGCTCAGAGTGCTCATGAGGGAACATTCCAAAAGGACAAGCCCCATTGCACAGGTACTTTATTAAGTCTCGATAATGTCCAAAGCAGGTCAAATGGCCAAGCCCAGCTCGATGTGGTCCAGAGCTATGCATGACCATGAACCCTGGGAGATGTGGTTTACTAGAATAGCCAATATAAGGCAACATTACCTGACCTTTGTAGACTTAGTGTTCTTGTCTGTAAACTGCAGCTGCTGTGAAGATTGAGCGAGATAAAAATAAGATATAGAAGATAAAATAGCTAGAATAGACATGGCAGACAAGAAGAGTCCAACAAATGTTAGCTCTTTTCCTACCATTTTCTTAAAAAAAAAAAAAAACTGCATCCAAAAATAATCTTAATGGTGAAATTATGTTTAGTAATTACTTCATTCACATAGTTATAACAACAGTCCATGGATGTATTGGCTGAACAAGAGCAGGGCTCAGATACTTCTTGATGAGAGAAGTTCAACAGATCAGTTCACCTTGGGGCTTAAATGCTTCCAGCTAGTGAGTCTGATAGTCCATCAGCCCACATACATCCTCTTGACTTCACTGATCAGCATAAAGCCTGGACTTCACTGATCAGCATAAAGCCTGGACTTCACTGATCAGCATAAAGCCTCCTGGGAGACTGAAAGGGAGTGGTAAAAATGGAATCCTGTCTAGTATTAATGTTTAACACATATTAATATGTGATGAATTGGGAGAGTCTCGAGAGGGAGAATGGATGACGAGAATGACAAGAGGGAAGAAGGTGTGATATAGGGAGCCAGATCCTGTCATTTAATTTTGGGGGAAATTTCAGGTCCAGGGTCAATGAAGTACAACTGATACCCAAAATTATCCTGTCCCAGCCAATCTGGAAGCACTGTACACCCTGGAATAAAGTGGCTGCATGTTCATATGAATTGAAAAAGCTCTCTCTCGAGGCCCCAAATATTCTGGTATCAAACTCCTTCTGATAACGACTATCAAGAGGAAAGGGTGTATTAGTTTCCTGGGCCGCTGTAACAAAGTACCATAACTTAGGTAGCTTAGAACAACAGGAATTTATTGTCTCACAGTTGTAGAGGCCAGAAGTCTGAATCCAAAGCAGTGCCCGCTTCCTCTGAAGATGCTAGGGAAGGTCCTGTTCTATGCCCCTCTCTAGCTTCTAGTAGCCTCAAGTGTCTCTTGGCTCATATATGCATCACTCCAATCCTGACTCCATCATCAAATGACCACTTCACATCATATTCCTCCATGTATATCTGTCTGTGTCCAAATTTCTTCTTTATATGGCATACCTTAATGACCTCATTTTAACTTGACTACTTCTAACTTGTTCAAGTAGTCAATAGTCTAACTTGACTATTTCCAAATAAGGTCACCATCTGAGGTACTTGGGACTAGGACTTTAATGTATCTTTTGGAGGGAGACACAATTCAATCCATAACAAAAGAGGTATTCTCTTTCCCACAAAACCATCCTGGCTAAGGTAAACTGGCTGAGCTCTAAACAAAGGTGGTCCCAGAGGCAGTAGGAATAATGACACAGACAAGAGGCAGCTCAATCACAGTAACACTTTCTCAAGGTCCAGGTGGGCAGCAGCCCTGGTGGCAGCAGGAGAGCCACCTACTGTCACAGCTCAGGTGCTTAAAACAAATGAAGCTCTACCTGCAGAGGATGGTACCTCTGTAGGACTTTGGAGACTGAGCTGTGACATTCAGTTTGACTAGTCAAGGCAGAAATTAAAAGATCTATATTGTTAATCACTTATTCCTTCGAGACTTCCTCTTGCCTCAGAAAGAGTATTATTACCAATAGCTATAAGCACTTTTACAATTTTACTAGGGACAAAAGTAATATTATGTTTATTAATGGCATTCTAATTTCACTAATTATCTGACAGTGGATATCAGCTTACAAATGATGATCATGGTGGTAACCATCAACGATAGAGTGAAAATCCAAAACACAAGAGCACAACTATCAATCTTAGATCAGCAGCAATTGATGACCAAGTTTAATTTATAGACTTTAATAAGTAGTACTTCTAAATCTTCTGGATACCATTTCAGTAGGAGGGCCCAGAAAGGCCTAAACTTCCTTTTGGAAAATGAATAGTAGCTTGGAGCACTGTGACTTTGTTATTAAGGGAAATGTAACCACTTTTGTGCTCACTGGTCACTAAAGCCGGTGACAGTCAAGTTACATTTTGTTTTAACCAAAAATCAATCAGTAGAATCCTTTAAATCACTTTTCTAGTACACTTAGAATTTTTAAATTAACAAAAAATAGATTTCACAAAACTTAAAAATTAACCTATGCTTCTTAAATAGGGTATAATTGGCTTCTAATTACCCATGGCAGATTAGCCACATACGGATATAGAAGTGGTATTCTACTTTTACATTTAGTCTCTCTAATTCAAGGGTTTGTAACATGGAATAGTAGAGTATACCTTTCTTCTTCAAATCAGCATGAATACTGATCCCAGCACTATGTGTAAGAGTAAAAAACTGGAAGCATCTTAAACATCTAACAATATGGGAATGATTAGATAAGTGTACTCAAAAATAGACTATTTGAGTCATTAAAAATTGTTTATGAAGAATACTAAATGAAGTATTCTTACATTATATATGCTTACATTATAATATTCAAAGAAAAAAGTGGGACACCAAACTATGCAGTGCGAAACCAAGAAAGAAACATAGACAAAACGTCTAGAAGGAAATCTAAAAATATATTAAAATGTTAAACCTGACCTCTAGACAGCAGGGTTACACATCATTTTTATTTTACTTTCAGAAGCTTTTCTGTGTTATCTAACTTTCCTGCGACTGAAAGATTTTCAAAATCATCAAGAAAACAATAAATGCCATTTTTAAAACTACCATGATACTTTCAGCTCATATGTTTGAAAACAGTGGAGAGGCCTATGTACTACACCAAGTGCTTTAAATTCGGAGGGCCAAATTGTTTTATTAAAAAGATGATAACCAGATGATTGGCTAAAGAAGCTGTGGTACATATATATAATGGAATATTACTCAGCCATAAAAAGAGATGAAATATTATGATTGAAATAATCATACTAAGCAAAGTAAGCCAGACAGAAAAGGTTGAAAATCACACGATATCACATATGTGGGATATAATCATAAAAGCAATAAATGAACAGGACAAACAAACGGAGACTCATGAACATGGACAATGAACTAATGGTTACCAGAAGGGAGGGGGAAAATAAAGAAATAAAATGTTTAAAAAAAAAAAAAAGATGGTAACTACACAGATATTATAATACTAATAAGTGTAGTTTACATATTATTCTTAGAAATTAAAAAAATACTGCTAAACAAGTAATAGAATTGAATCTTTGATAGTTAGAAGTTAAAGGTTAGTAAAAATATCCTTTAGTACTGAATTATTAGTCACATTAAGCTAATTGTGACTAAAACACACAAATGTACACACCATCATTATTTGTGTCCAGACTATTAAATGCCAGCCTCATTTTTTTCTCATGGTCTTTAAGGTATTTCATAAATTCTTCAAAGTCCAATTTTGAATCATTATTGGTATCTCCAGCTTTTAAAATGTCCTGCAAGAAAGAAGAAACTCATTGCAGAGACATATTGCAAGTAAATCCACTATACCATGCTAATATTGGCACTTTTCACTCATATTAATTATGATTTCCATCAGCATCCATTACCCTAGTTTTTCAGTCACAGCTACAAGGTTAAGTAGATTGTGATTTTTTTTTAATTTGTGCAATACTAGAGTCAATAGCCACCATGTCATTCCAAATAATTATGAGTCTTGTAAGTATTTACTTGAGGTTATCAATGAATGCCAAGTACCTTGAAAGACTAAAGATACTAAGATACACAATCTTTACTATGAGAGTTCACAAGTATTAATTAAATGAGATAAAATATGTGAAATTCTAGTATGACCCACAGCTTAATGGTTTGAGACCTAAACTTATAAAGTAAGAATATATGTTCAGATCTCACTGGGGTGTCATGCTTTTAAAAAAAAAAAAATTAACAATGGTAATTTTTAAATACACATCATCTATATTTCCAGTAGACTCTTGCATCAAAGCCATAGGCCATGTCTTGCACACCTTTGTACCATCAATGCCTAGTATAAAGTATGGCACACAAAGGCCATTAATCATTGTTTGCTGAATTGAAAAATACTGTGATCTAGGCACTGGATTAGGTGCTAGGGATTAAAAGACAAGAAGATGCAGGCCCTGCCCTGAAGGAAGTTACTGACTAGTGGAGACCACTCACATAACCAAAGAGAATATGTTAAGCGACAAAACGAGAATGTATTCAAGGCACAGTGGAGTTTGGAGGGATTCAGGAGCACCTTCACAGGGGAAGAGTGCTTAAGCTGAGACCTGCAGAAAAAAATAGGCATTAACTGGGCAGACGAATAGGGAACACAGTCCGAGAATCTTTGCAAGCAGGTAGAACATACGTTAATTATAAAAAAACACAATAATAATGATAGTCATTAAAATAACAGCTAATATTTATTGAGAACTTACTTCTAAGCATTTTGTATATATAAATTCATTTACTCTTCATAATAACCCTAAATGGTTCCAATTTACTGAGGACAAAATGCAAAGGAGAAAAGCAGGAGGTAAGACAGGCAGAGGAGAGAGCATAGAGGAGTTCTATAACACAAAAAAATTTCAAATTAATCCTGTAGGTTGTTTCCCAATGAGTGGAATACATACAGTGCTTACACGGAAACAGTATTAAATAACACTAAATCAGTGCGAGAAAATTATTCCTCTTTCAATTATCTTTCAATCCTTCTGATTACAAAATGGAGAACATCTCAGTTTTGTGCTAATATGCCTCAATACTTGCCAATTTAAAAGAAAAAATCAGAGTATAAGCATCAGGTACAACTTTGTCAAACAATATAGTTTTTAGCCAGAAATTAATAACACTACTCTATTTCTATTTTGTTTTATGCTTATTTTTAATCTACTAGTTTTCTAGCTATAGTAGCACTATGAAATTTTATTTTAAAATGAATTTCTTCACACACAAACGAATCAATTCGCTTAAAATAATTAACAGTATAGTCAGTTCTTGTTTACAGCCAACCTCATGAAGTTGGGAATGTTGCTGTAAATGACGGAGTGCCATGATCAGTGTTAGAAAGGCCATTCCAGTGGTAGACTTTGATGAGGGAGAGAGAAAAGATAGAAAGTAAAAAGATCAGTAAGGGGACAACCGCGAAAATCTAAAGGAGAAATGAACCTCTGAACTAGAGGGAAGGCGGTAGGAATGGAAACAAGATACTAAAGAGCTTTAGAAGGTGGGAGGTAACTTGATCACTGACACACTATAGAGGGTAAGGGAAAAAGAGGAATCTAGAACGCTGAAGGTGCTATTTGACATTAGAATGACTATGATCAAAAAAGCTAAATGTTGGCAAGGATATGGAGAAACCAGGACCCGCATTGATGGTGGGGATATAAAATGGTGTAGCCACATTGCAAAGCAGTTTGGCAGTTTCTTAAAAAGTTAAACATATACTTACTAAATGACTCAGCAAGCCTACTCCTAGATAGCTAAGAGAGATAAAAGCAGATGGCCATATAAAAACTTAGACACAAATGTTCACAGCAGCATTATTCATAATAGCCAAAAACTGGAAACAAACCAAATGCCCATCGACTACTAAATCGATAAAAATTGTGGTATATACATACAATGGAATATTATTCAGCAATAAAAAGGGAAAAAACTACTAATACATGCTATAGCATTGATAAGCCTCAAAAATATGCTTAAGTTAAATTAGCCAGACACAAAGGACTACATTGGTTTTTTTCCCATTCATATGAAATCTCTAAAACAGGAAAAGCTATAGAGACAAAAAGCAGATCAGTTGTTACGTAGAGGTGAGGATGGGAGTGGAAACTGCAAAAGAGCACAGGTAACTTTCTTTTTGAAGTAACAGAAATGTTCCAAAATCATATGGTGGTAATGGTTACACAACTAGATAATTTGTACTAAAAATCACTAAACTATCTACTTAACAATAAGTAAATTTCATAGTATGTAAATTACACTTTAATAAAGATGTTTTGAAAATTAATATATTAATAATTAATGTGTTAAATATTGTCACCACCAAAATAAAAGGTAATTATGGCAATTTCTCGTCAAGATAGCAGAGTAAGTAAATGCTGTGCTTGCCTCCTCCCATGACCACATTAAAATTACAACTAAATTATAAAACAACCATCCTTGAGAATCACCTGAAGACTAGAGGAACAGAATTTCTATAACTAAGGACGTAAGGAAGAAACCACATCAAGACAGGTAGAAGGGTGGAGACGCAACATGCACTGGTCCCACGCCCAAGTGTGGCGTTATCTAGGCTGCAGAGGTATTCCCTGAGGAGCACGGGTTCCCAGCTTCACCGGGGATGCCCAGTCCAGAGCACCAGTACCAGGAAGAGAAATCCCCCACAACATCTGGCTGTGAAAATCAGTGGAGACCCCATCCAGGTGAGATGGAAGGCTGCTGGAGTACCAGGTATCCCATAAAGAGCCCTCGCACAGACTCACTTGCTCACAAACACTCGCACTAAGCTCCAGAGAAGGGACAGAAGCTTGAAAGGCACCAAGAACCTACAGGGAGAAACTGAATTGTCTGGCTTCAGAGCAAGGGGCTAGAGGGGCAGCTCTGGCAGGGATAGAAGTGCTGGTAGCATCACTGTTTCTTTGCTGAGCCCTCCCCCAACCCAGCCTGCAGTCACAGGTGGGCACCAAATCTAAGTATCCATGACACTGGCTAATACTGCTCACCCCACTCTGGTGATACCCTGAAAACCAGCCCTACTCAATTTGCACACAGGCCCAAACCTCCTTCAGAGGCTATTCTTCATAAGCAACCAACCTCAGCCCACATTGTGGAATTCCCTAAAATCTCTGAAAAGTATAAAAACCCCAAACAAGCAGTGGGTGGCCTCAGTGTGCCCCATACCTCTTGCTAATCAGCTCCCAGCACTAGCAGCAGCCAGCCTTAATTTGCAGAATAGCCTCTCCCAGGTGCCTCCAAACCCAGCACGGGCAGCTACCAACTGCAGATCATTCTATAGCTCCTACCAGGTGGCCCTGGGCCAGGCAAAGGCAGCAGCTGACCTAGGTCTGTCCCAGAGCCCCTCGCAAGAACCAACAAAGCTGGTAGCTGGCTTCAGACCACACCAGAGCACAACCCAATTAGCTCCACAAATGGCACATGCAAAGGGCGGACTCAGCAGGCACCAGAGCCCCACTACAGCAAATCTCACTCCATAGGGTCAGCCCCCACGTAACTACTCATCTGCCATAGTCACAGCCAGTAAGCCTGAGGGTCAATCCTGCCCACTGACATACCAACAGCAATGAAGGCTCAGCTACAACAAGAGGGCACACACAGCCCACACAAGGGACACACCTGGAGCACCCGGCTCAGGTGACCAGGGAGACTATGCTACTGGACAGCACGAGACATCTACTACATAAGGCCACCTTGCCAAGACTGGGAGATGTAGCACACTGACCAAATATGTAGATGTTGTTATTGATAGGTATATAGTTAACAAACACAAGGAGGCAGCCAAAATGAGAAGACAGAGAAACATGTCCCAAATGAAAGAACAAAACTCCAGAAAAAGAACTAAACAAAATACAGGCAAGCAATCTACCAGATACAGAGTTCAAAACACTGGTTATAAGGATGCGCAATGTATGTAGGGGAAAAGCAGATGAACTCAGTGAGAACTTTAACAAAGAGATAGGAAACATAAAAATGGAGACAGAAAACATAAAAAAGAACCAGTCAGAAATGAGGAATACAGTAACTGGGGTGGAATCAACAGCAGATTAGATAAAGCATACAACCAAATCAGTGATTTGGAAGATAAGGTCACAGTAAACATCCAATAAGAACAGCAAAAAGAAAAAAAAAAAGTTTAAGGGACCTCTGGGACAACATCACACATAACGAGATTTGCATAATAGGGGTACTAAAAGGAGAAGAGAGAGAAAACAAGGACTTGAAAACTTATTTAAAGAAATAATGACTAAAAGCTCCCTTAACCCGGCAAAGGAAAAACAAATACAAGTCAAGGAAGTACAGAAAATCCCAACAAAGATGATTGCCAAGAGGCACGCACCAAGACACACCATAGTTCAAATGCCAAAGGTTAAAGACAAAGAGATAATCTTAAAAGCAGTAAGAGAAAAGCAGTTATTTATTTACCAGGGGATGACAGCTAATTTCTCAACAGAAACTTTGCAGGCCAGAAGGAACTGGCACGAAATATTCAAAAGTGAAGAAAAGCAAGGATGTACAACCAAGATTATTCTACCCAGCAAGGCTATCATTTAGAATCAAAGGACAGATAAAAGAGCTTCCCAGAAAGGAAGAACCTAACGGAGTTCATAACCACAAAACCAGCATTACAAAAAATGTTAAACGTCTTTAAAAAAAGAAAAGCATATATATCAAAAATATGAATAATAAAATGACGATAACTACATACCTATCAATAACAACATACTTACCTATCAATAACTACATATCTTTAAATGGATTAAATACTCCAATCAAAAGACATAGCGTGGCTGAATGGAGAAGAAAACAAGGCTCTTACATATGCTGCCTACAAGAGACTCACTTCAGATCGAAAGACACACAGACTGAAAGTCAAGGGATATTTCATGCAAATGGAAATGAAAAAAAGCTGGGGTACCAATACTTACATCAGACAAAATAGACTTTAAAACAAAGGCTATTAAAAGAGACAATGAAGGACATTTCATATACAATAGCCAAGATATGAAAGCAACCTAAGCATCCATCCATAAACAACTGGATATATGTATAGTACATATATACAATGGACTATTACTCAGCAATAGAAAAGAATGAAACCTTGAGCTCTCTTCAGCAACACATATACTAAAATTGGAATGATAAAATAAATGAAGTATTATGTACAACACGGATGGACATAGGTGAAATAAGTCAGACAGGGGAAGACAACTACCATATGATTTCACTGACATGTGGAATCTAAAAAACACAATGAATGAATAATCAAAAGAGAAAAAACTCGTAGATAAGAGAACAAGCTGACAGTTGCCAATGGGAGGGGGGTTAAGGGGCTGGGTGAAAAGGTGAAGGTATTAAGAATACAAATTGGCAATTACAAATTAGTCACAAGGATGTAAAGTACAGCATAGGGAGTACAGTTAATATTGTAATAATATTGTAATAACTGTGCCGGGTGAGTACTAGACTTATCGGGGGGACCACTTCATAACATACACACATATATATATATTTTGTGTGTGTGTGTGTGTGTTTGTGTGTGTGTGTATATATATATATAGCTCCAGTATGCTGTATACCTGAAACTAATACATTGAATGTCAATTGAAATTCAAAAACAAATGTAAATAAATAAATAAATTTTAAAACAAGGTAATTATGTGTGGTGATGGATGTTAACTAATCTTATTATGGTAATCACTTCACAACAGTAATTATGTGTGGTGATGGATGTGTTAACTAATCTTATTATGGTAATATTCACTTCACAACATATACATGTATAAATCATCAGGTTATACACTTTAAACATGCACAGTGTTATATGTCAATCATATCTCAATAAAGCTGGAACGAAAATAATACAATAAAAGGAAAACAGGGGATTAAACTCTAGTTAAATATCAGTGCCTTCCTGAAGGCTCTGAGCCTGAGGCTTGTCTCTTCTCTTCTTTTAAAGGAGGATTAACAAGTATTAGAACTGTTAAAGCCACATTGCAATGAACTGAGAATTTCTGCTCAATATAATCACGAAGACTGAAAAAAAAAATCATTTAAAAGGGAGTCATTTTCTTATCTTTAGATTAGATGTAGCTTCTGTAATGTCCAAGAATAATCTAAAACCATCTCTCATACATACCATTAGTAGTTTGTGTCCCTTTTTAGGGAAAAATTTGACTAAAAATGCACTCTGGCTACCAATATTGTTCAGTCTAGAGCTCATCAACAAAATCAGACAACCAAAAATCACCAATAGCATGAAAGAAGGGCCATATTCAATTACTGGAAAAACTACCCCTGGTGGAGATGGGTATAAGATTTTAGGGAGTATTACATCCATCAGGAAAAAAAAGTTCTAAAAATAAAAAATGTGATGGCAATAAACAATTCAACAATAGTGTCATTAACAAAACACACATAGCTGAACAGTCACTTAGTAAGCTGAAGAGTATGGAATTGAATTAATGTTGCTGGAGGTAACCGATACATCGGAGGAAAACAGTGAAAGGCTGAGAATGATACAGCACCAAAAACGTGGTAATACATACAATGGAATACTCCTCAGCCTTTAAAAGAAAGACTCTGACATATGTTACATGGATGAACTTTGAGGACATTATACTAAATGAAATAAGCCATTCACAAAAAGACAAACATCGTATGATGCCACTGTATTTTTTTTTTTTTACATGAGGTACTTAGAATACTCAAAATATAGAGATAGAAAGTAGAATGATGGTTTCCTAGAGCTGGATGGAGGAAGGAATAGGGAGTTTAATAGGTATAGAGTTTTCATTTTACAAGATGAAAAGAGTTATGGAGATAGACAGTGGTACTAGTTGCCCAATATTATGAATGTATTTAACACCACTGAATTGTACACTTAAAAATGGTGAAGATGGTAAATTTTATGTTAAAAAAACAATATCTCATCCCAGAGTAAATAGCAGAGATTAGTACCACCCTTAAAGACCTACGAAAGAACCCAGGGGTGGTGATCCCATCATTTTTTTTCACCAATCTGACCCCTACAAAAGCTAGGTGGATCACAGGGGAAGATGACAGTGGAATACTTCAAACTTAACCAAGTAGTAGAGGAGCCAATTGCAGCGGTGGATACAGATGTGGTACCTTTACTAGAGCAGATTAACACAGTTCAGAAACAGCATATAGCCACTGATACGGTGAATACATTGATTTATATTTACCAAGGAGGACCAGACGCAGCAGGCATTCACATGGGATGGGCAATAATATACATTTAAATCTCCCACCCTCTGTCATAAAGGAATCTGGTCCATCTACACATTCACAGAACATCACACTGTTTCACTATATTGACAACATCATGTTATTTGGATTAGATGAGCAAGAAGTAGCAATATGTTGGAGGCCTTAGTAAGATACATGCACTCCAGAGGGTGGCAGATAAGAGTCACTGAAAATAAGAGTCCGAGGTCTACCACATCAATTAAGTATTTTCAGGACCAGTGATAGGAAAAATGTTGCATGGAATTTATAACAAGCCCCCAAAGGAGAATCTTCAGCAGAAAACTATAACTGGCATGCTATGGGGCCACGGTAGAAACAAAGTGCTTCACTACGGGACATCAAATGACAATACAGACAGAGAGGCCTATCGTGAGTTGGGTTCTGTCATACCCAATACCAAATCATAAATTTTGGTGAGCCCAGAAAGCAATCCATATGATGGAAAACAAAACAATCTCAGGATCAAGCACAAGCAGAATCAGCACAAGCAAGCTACACAGAGTGGTCCAGATCTCCATACCCCACCACTGTTATACTATGACCAGCCCACACAGAAGGAAAAAAGATGAGATTGGTTTGGGGACGGGTTTCTTAGTGTGTAAGTGCAAATTGAGAACAGCCTAGTATGCACTGCTTTCTGATTCCTACCTCTCAAGGTTCTTCTCTGATATCCCTTCTAGAGTAAGCAGGAGCCTGAGATACTTGACAGGCTGAGGGAGGTGCAGTGTCCTGGAATTCTGGGCTAAGAGAAGGAAGTAGGACCAGACTGTTCTAAGAGACAGGGTCCAGGGACAAAATCAAAATAACACCATGCAGATGGTTTGATTAAGTCATCAATATGAAGAGATTAAGCAGAGTGAGAAGATAATGAGATAAAAATCAAATCAGAGCACAGAACTCGTAAAGAATTTTCTGAGCTATAGGAACGGTTTGGACTTCACACGCACACACGAAACGAGTGGGGTGATGAAGACTGCTCAGCATTGACGAGGGAAATGGTATAATCGTTTCCTCTTGATATCCTGAAACTTCCATGTAAAGAATTTTTAAATAATCAAATCAAAACCCATCCAGAGAAGGAAAACATCAGTAATTGAGGCAAGATGCCAAACAATCAGCTGAAGTGCAAACGCATGGGTCAAGGTCTGATTCCCCCTAGACTTTGCGTATGTCAGAAAGAGATGGCAACTCTTAGGGACCCACTTGTGCCTGTCGTCGGAGTGTGAACCCTGCGGGGGTTGTGAACGTCCTTATTACACAGGTCTTTGGCTCCTGTGTTCACAAAAACCAACACGGCCCCCGAAATTCTGTGTGGGTTCAGTAAATGTTGAACGTGTCATCAGACACCCACTCGGCATCTCCCAAAAGGCCCAGGAGGGGACTTTGGTCATTGTGGACAGCAGCCGTCTTAAGAAAGTTGAGACCGTGCTTTGCTGGGCTGCATGATTCTGCGTGAGGGGCTCACGGAAGAGAATCCCACCCTCACGACAGAGGCCTTTGAAAGAAGCTCCAGAAAGGGCAAGTCTGGCTTCCCGCTCCGCCCAACATTTCTGCAGACTCCCGGTGCCACGTTCTCTTGGTCCATTACCTTCTCCGAAAACAGGCCGAACATGGAGCTCCAGTTTTTCAGCCCCTCCTGGAGCTCTTTGATGTCCACCACTCCGTCCCCGTTGCGGTCCAGGTCTCGGAAGAGGACCTCGTAGTGGAAGGAGTCCTCGCTGTCCTGGCAGGCGGCCGTGGGCAGCACGAAGCCGCGCAGCCAGCGCGGCACG